GTGCGATGGCAGATCCCGCCACGCGCTTTATTCGTGGGGAACCCCGACCAGGCTCCCAGCTCCTCAGCCCGTCTCCTGAGATCCCTGCTGCCCAGCCCGTCCCGCCGCAGGCGTTTCTCGGGGCTTCTCTCCGGCTGAGGAGCTCGGTGGTGTTGCCAGGCCACCGGCATTTCTGACGAGCTCATCTCACTGTCCCAACGTTCATTTTGTGGGTGAAGCGTTTGTTCCTTATGTACTCGGGGGCCCTGGAGGAAAAGGAGGCGCCGCGCACTTAGCCGGGAACTTAGTTTTCTGAAATCTTTATAACGTGTTAAGGGCCTTCTGTTCCCTTCTTAGGGTCCACGGACTGTGTGTGTTACTCCACCGTCGGCATCAACGACGCAAAGACCTCCGCCCTGCATATCATCGTGGGTAGGTCCCGCCCATCCTCGTGGGTAGGTCCCGCCCATCTTTGTGGGTAGGTCCCGCCCATCTTTGTGGGTAGGTCCCGCCCATCTTTGTGGGTAGGTCCCGCCCATCTTTGTGGGTAGGTCCCGCCCATCTTTGTGGGTAGGTCCCGCCCATCTTTGTGGGTAGGTCCCGCCCATCTTTGTGGGTAGGTCCCGCCCATCTTTGTGGGTAGGTCCCGCCCATCTTTGTGGGTAGGTCCCGCCCATCTTTGTGGGTAGGTCCCGCCCATCTTTGTGGGTAGGTCCCGCCCATCTTTGTGGGTAGGTCCCGCCCATCTTTGTGGGTAGGTCCCGCCCATCTTTGTGGGTAGGTCCCGCCCATCTTTGTGGGTAGGTCCCGCCCATCTTTGTGGGTAGGTCCCGCCCATCTTTGTGGGTAGGTCCCGCCCATCCTCCTTTGTGGGTCCCGCCCATCTTTGTGGGTAGGTCCCGCCCATCTTTGTGGGTAGGTCCCGCCCATCTTTGTGGGTAGGTCCCGCCCAGCCCACGGACTGTGAGCAGCCCACGCTGGTGGGGGCTTGCGAGCCTCCCTACCCTCCGTGCCTGGCCGTCTGCCAGCAGGGCTCTGTCCCTGGGGCTCCCCTCCACTGCCATCCGGCCCCGTCTTCCCACACCGCCAGGGGGTCCTGCAAAGCACAGACCCTGCTCAGAACCCTTCCAGGGCCTTGGGGGGCCAGCACCCCGTGACCTGGAGGCTCTCCTCCTCGGTGTCCATGCGCTGGCCGGGCTGCCCCTCTGTCCCACGCTCGGCCCCAGGCTGGGCCCTGGCTCTGTCCCGGGCTCTGTCCCCAGGCTCTGTCCCCGGCTCGGTCCCGGGCTCTGTCCCGGGCTCTGTCCCGGGCTCTGTCCCCGGCTCTGTCCCGGGCTCTGTCCCGGGCTCTGTCCCGGGCTCTGTCCCCGGCTCAATCCCAGGCTCTGTCCCGGGCTCTGTCCCGGGCTCTGTCCTGGGCTCTGTCCCCGGCTCGGTCCCGGGCTCTGTCCCGGGCTCTGTC